TATCTTGTGCTGGTCACAGACTGTAGGCCCTCATTTTGGAGGTTTGGCTACAGTGTAGGAATTTCACTTGCCTATACGGCTACACTCCTGGCTGAGGTGCCATTAGATCAATGTCACTCAAGTTCCTGGCCAGCCAAACTCCTGCGGCGAAGAGTCCCAAATTGAGGATCAAGTTCCTCCGAAAGTCATTCCTATCGGTGGCAAAGCGGTAGACGCCCCGCAGCCAGTCTCCCACGTTGTCCAGAATTTCGGGGGTTTCGTTTGCCGAGCAGGCAGCGCCCACCGGGACCCCGCTGGAAGCCATACCAGCACCTCTGGCCTCCTTCCAGGCTTCACAGATTTATCATTTTAAAGGATACCTCTGTGTGATTTGCTCAGAAATTATTCTAAAAAAAAAAAAAAGCCAAGTCAAATTTTCGTAGTTTCTCCCCCCACCAACCTGGAATTGAACTCAGGCTCTTGCACTTTCCTGGGAAGTGCTTATTCCACTGAGCCATCTCCCTGGCCCCTCTTCTAGTAGTTTTGTGACTTTGATTTTTCTAATGGGTAAGTCTTTGATGTACCAGGAATCAATTTTGTTATAGGACTAAGGGTCTGAGGGAGGTGGTCAGAGGGTCTCACTGGGTGACAGTGGGGTGAGGGGAGTCTTTGGTTTTACTCTATAGATAATTGTGGGATGTGTGTGCGTGTGGGATTTCTACAGGGACGACCTGGCCCGGCTGCCCTTCCTGACCATGTGCATCAGGGAGAGTCTGCGGCTGCACCCCCCGGTGGTAGTCATTTCCCGCTGCTGCACCCAGGACGTTGTGCTCCCGGATGGCCGGGTCATCCCTAAAGGTGCCCACATCATCGGGGAGGAATGGTTTGGGCAGGGTGGCGGTCCTGTGGGTCAGCCTGGACCTCTCCTGCCTGTCGCTTTTCCCCATACAGGAACCATTTGCGTCATAAGTATCTTTGGGATTCATCACAACCCTTCAATCTGGCCTGACCCTGAGGTGCTGCTTCTCCCCCCTCCCCCACCCCGACCTGACACAGGAAACCAGCTTCTCACCCTCTACTGGACCACGTGTTGTCTTCCACTGGAGTGGCTGGGAGAGCAGAGAGCCCCCACTCCAGCAGCCTCTTTTTGCTATATCCCAGGTCTATGACCCCTTCCGCTTTGACCCAGAAAAGCCCCAGGAGAGGTCACCTCTGGCTTTTATTCCCTTCTCGGTGGGGTCCAGGTGAGGAAAGCGGGCTTCTGAGCTCAGGTGGGCTGATGGGAAGATATATGGGGATGATGTGGAGGAAATGGAGGGCAGTTATGGATGGACAGAGGTCCAGGTCTGCTTCTCGAGGCTCCTGCGCTCAGGTTTGGAGCGGACAGGGTTGGGTAGGTGTAGCTCGGGTCCATGCACCGTTAGCGTCTCTCGCTGTCCCGGTAGCTGACCAGGGTGGGCTTGGGTCCTGGAGCAGGTTTGGGGACAACGGGCCTGGACAGTCCCAGCGCTGTCACGGTCCCCTCCCCGCCCGCCCGCAGGAACTGCATCGGCCAGACCTTCGCCATGGCCGAGATGAAGGCGGCGCTGGCGCTGACTCTGCTGCGCTTCCGCATCCTGCCAGACGACACAGAGCCGCGCAGGAAGCCGGAGCTGATCCTGCGCGCGGAGGGCGGGCTTTGGCTGCGGGTAGAGCGGCTGAGAGTGGGGGCTCAGGGAGCCTCCAGGCCTGGGCTGGGACCCAGCTGACCCTGCCCTCCTTGGCTGACTCTGGAATAAACAGCTCTGCGACGTGTGTCTGAGCCTCAGCGAGCGCCAGCAGGGGGAGCTGGGGAGCCACGGGTGGGCCCGAATTGGGAATGAGGAGGGCTGGAGTCTTTGAGCCGAAGACCCTGACTGCTTCTCACTGAGCACAGGGCCGGCCGGGTGCTGATGGTGGGAGCCGTGAAAGGGCTTGAGCAGAACAGAGGCCAGGATTAAGGGGAGCCGGGGATCAGGGGCCTGCAGTGGAAGCCTCAGTTTTACAGTGTCTTCCCATCACCCAACTTCCCGTCTTTTTTGTTGTTATTGTTGTTGTTTTTGAGGCAGGGTCTTGCTGTGTAGTTCAGGTTTTCCTTGAACTCACAGTGTAACCCAGGTGGACCTTGAACTCCCAGCCCTCCTGCCTCGCTCTGGGCAGTGCTGGGGCAAGACTCCCATTCTGATCAACGGCTGTGCTCCAGGAGTCTCCACTGTGTGTTCAGGCACTAGATGAGTGTTTATTACATAGAACAAGCACGGCCGGTGATTGTGGCATCTGCATCTATTATTCTCCTCTAGTTTTGCTGATTTTTCTCTCACGAGGCCAACTGTTTTTGTGTGCCTGGGTTGTCTTTGCCTGTATAGTTATCACCTGTCCTATTTGAAAGCTTATTAGGAGAGCTTGAGGATGGCAGCTTTCTGGAGAGAGGAGTCGGTGGAGCCCCGCTGCTTGAGGATTAGGTTGAATGAGCTCCAGGCTTGTGGTGCCCAAGGCCACAAAGGCAGCGTAACTCAGGCTGAAGTCACCCTTGCAGTCTCCTCTGCTTCATGCTACTCCGCCCATGAGGGATACCATCCGCGGAGTCCCAGTTGTTTGAGAAGAATCTTCTCATACATTCCCTTTCATGTCTCATGCTGGGCTTTGGGTTTCTTTCTGTCCTATGCTGAGGTCACTAAAATAGACTCTCCTATTTTCCTGACTTTAATGGCTTCAGAACAAAAGTATACTTCGTGTTCATGTTCTCTCTGGCGTTTTGATATCATGCCAATAGCGATTTATTTATTTATGCATTTATTATGCTGGGGGTCCAGCGTATCCTTGCCGTGCTAGACAAGAACATTAGCACTGAGTTATACACCCACATGCCTCTAATTCTTTACTATCTTTTTAGGTTATTTATTCACTTAAGTGAAGAAGCATTTAGGCTCAAGAGCTCTTTTAAAGCAGCTATAAGTTGAATCCAAATAGTTTAGCTTCCATTATTGGGAAAAATGTGTATCAGGGTTCATGCTTAGCCAGCCTTATCAAAAAAAAGGGGCAGGAGAAGAAAATACTCACATTTATTAGACTCAAATTAGGAATGAAAAGGGAGAAAGCACAAGGGACCCTGCAGAAATCCAGAAGACCATCAGTATCTACTTTGAGAATCTGTACTTTATTTATTTATTTATATTTATTTATTTTTCTGGTGGAACTGGAAATTGAACTCAGGCCCTTGTACTTGCCAGGGAACCACTTATTCTACTGAGCCATCTCCCCAGCCCTTAGAATCTGTACTTTAATAAGAGTGAAAACTGCATATGAATTACCAAAGCTGAATCAAGAAGATATAATCAGGAGGCTGCTGGCAGCTATGGAAGTTGTCAATATTAAGACAGTGACTTGTGTCAAGTTCAAACAGAAGAGGAGGTGAGGGACTGACAGCCTGCATGCACACATGCCTCTGATTATAACTACTTCGAAGACTGAAGGGCTTTATACACATGAGCCTGTAGCAAAAACTTTTATCCAGGACTTGCTGACCTCTAGCTTTCTAAATATGACAGAGATCATTGGCTAATGCAAAATACTCACCTGCCTGATACATTGTTTCTGCTAATGAATGGACAGCACCTTCCAGTGATAAGCCCCAGGAACTAAGGTTTTCTTTCTTTCAAGACAAATTACATGTGCTTTTCTCTTGCTTTTAGGAGTTTCCTCTTGTCTTTACCTCTTAGGATATGTTGATGGTCCCCATAGCATGTGAATTCCAGGTTATATTCCTGTTACTCTGAATAAACTTAGTATTACTTAAAAAAAGAAGATACAAAAATTCTAAATGTCCCAATATCAGTCAATGAAATTGAAGCAGTAATTAAAAAAACTACCAGTAAAGAAAAGCCTAGGTCTTGATGGGTTTACTGAGGAATTCTACAAGAACTATAGAGAAAATCTAATGCCACTACTCCTCAAACTCTTTAATGAAATTGAAAGGGAAGCAACACTCCAAAACTCATTTGTAGAAGCAAGCGTTACCCCGATACCAAAACCAGAGAAGGATCCAACCGCCAAAGAGAATTAGAGGGGGCCTGCCCCTTAGCTCAGTTCTTTCAGTGGCTGCTTCAACAAAGCAGTCAGGCTCAGGTTGCTGTGGTTCGATCCCCACAACTCAAGCCAGCCAAACCTGCCCTGAAGGCATTTGGAGCAAAAAAACCAAACAAATAAAAACCTTAAAAAAAAAAAAAAAAAGAATTAGAGGCCAATTTCCCCTAATGAACATAGATGCAAAAATCCTCAGTAAGATACTGGCAAACATGATGCAGCAGATAGTAAAGGAGTATACACTACGACCAAGTAGGACTCATCCCAGGGATGCAAGGATGGTTCAACATGCACAAATCAATATATGTAATACACTACATTAATATAACCAAGAATAGAAACCATATGATCATCTCAACAGACACAGAAAAGCATTTGGCAAAGTACAATACCCATTCATGATTAAAAAACAAAACAAAAAACTCCAGAAAACTGAAAACGATAGTACTCTGTAAAAGGGGATTGAAAAGGATATCAGAAAATGGAAAGATAGCCCTAGTTTTTGGATAGCCAGAACTGATATGGTGAAAGTGGCCATATACCTGCAGTGTCAAACATAAATACTTAAATGACACCCAGGATTTGGAGGCAGATTTATTTTACATCAGATGGGCACTGACTGGAAATCAGTTATTCCTCAAAGTATCAGGCCCCAGGCTGGTGGTCTAGGGCTTCTGTGGTTAAGCAAGCAGAAAGTCCAAAGACAGAACGGCTTGTCAGTTGGGCATTGGCTCTTGCACTACTCGCTGTGTGTATCCTGGTGACCAGCTAGCTATGCATCACGATGACAAACTGTTTCTACGAGGCACAAACAACCTAAGCTGGAACAGAAACTGTCACCTGGGCAAGCATAAAATATATGGCTCTGAGGTATACTGCCTGGGGGGGGCATTTTCTGCAACACTTCCACAAACTTTATAAAGGCACAATGCAATCCTAATCAAAATCCCAATAGCATTCCTCACAGAACTAGAGAAAATAGTCCTAAAATTCATTTGGACTGAGAAAAGACCTAGAATAGTGAAAACATTTATTGGCAACCAAGAGAAGACAGGGGGCATCACAATCCCTGACTTGAAATTATACTAAAAGATACTGTGATTAAAAAAAATATGGTACTAGCACAAACAAAAACAAATCAAAACCCCCCAAAACAAAACCACATCAAGACCAAACAAAACCGTATTAGAAGATGGGAGAAATAACTGCAAACACTCAGTCACCTTATCTTTGACAAAGGGGCCAAAAAGTTTCACTGGAAAAAAGGCAGCCTCTTTTATAAATGGCGGGAAAACTGGCTTTCCATGCACGAAAGATTAACCCTAGACTCATATCTCTCACCATGCACTAAACTACAATTGAAGTAGATCGAAGATCTAAATTTGTTTTAAGGGGCCAGGGAGATAGCTCAGTAGAAAAAGTGCCTGCCTAGCAAGCGTAGGGGTCCTGACTTCAATCCCTGGTATCCAAAAAAAAATTTGTCTTAATCTTTTATTTATTTATTTATTTATATACTTGGTACATGGTTTCACTATGCATCTCAGACTCGAAGTGATCCTCCTGTCTCAGCCTCCCCAGCACTGGGATTACAGGCATGTACCACCATGCCCACTTTCAGTGGCTGGCATGGCATGTAGTGCTGGTATTAAACCCAGGTCCTTGTGATTGCCAGGCAGGCACTTAGACCGCCGAGATATTTCTCCAGCCTCCAAAGATCTAATTCTTTTTTTATGAGTAGAATATATTTATTGAGGGAAAGAAAGTTCCTGTCTGAGACAGGGACAGGAGGGGGGCCTGAGCGGGTTGTCCCCCACAAAGGTCTAAATGTTAAAACAGAAACATTAAATCTTCTGGAAGATGGAATAGGTAAAATTCTTGAAGACATAGGTGTAGGCAAAGACTTTATGAACAAAACCCTGATCACACAGGAAGTGTCACAAAGAAGCAACAACTGGGACAAATTTTATTAAGAAGCTTTTGCACTACAAAAGAAATCATTAACAACAAAGAGGCAACCCATAAAAATGAGTGTCCCAGTTACTCTTCTCTTGTTAGGAGACAAATATCTGACACTCAAAATTGAGGAAGGAAAGGTTTATTTAGCTCACAGTTAGTGGAGGCTTCAGTCCATACTCCATACCAAGGCAAAGCGGCGCATAGGGGAGGGCAACTGTTCATGGTGGCAGCAAAGAGCAGAAAGCAAAAGGGAGCAGTAATAGCAACAGTGGCTGCAGAGAGTAAGTCTGTCTCCCTTAAATTGCATTCAGGCTATTGCCCCAGACTGGGAGTAGTACTCACACTCATAATCCCAGCAGCACTCACACCCATAATCTCAGTGGATCATGAGTTGATGACAAACTCTAGAAGTCTGCCCCATGACTGCATGAGGCTTTGAGGGGACAGCTAGACACAAACCATAACAAATGGGAAAAATTTTTACTAGCTATTCCTCAAAGGACTAATATCTAGAATATATAAAGAACTGAGGGCCGGCCAAATAGCTCAGTGGATTAAAGTGCCTGCTTAGGCAGACACAGGGGCCGGGAGTTCAAAGAACTGAAAAAAATAGACCCTAAACTTAATGGCCTACTCCAAAAATGGGCATCTTAAATGAATAGACACTTCTGAGTTGAAGAAGTACAAAGGCAAATAAATATATGAAAAGCTGTCCAATAGCATGTTCATTTGAGAAA